GGATGGATGGATGGATGGATGGATGGATGGATGGATGGATGGATGGATGGATGGATGGATGGATGGATGGACAGATGGACGGATGGACGCACAGATCAGTAGATGGATGAGTGGATGGAATGAATATAAAGAATTTTAATTTGATATGAGAGTCCAACAGTAAGCAGGACTTGCATATAGTACTAGAACAGAGAAGTGCCTTTTTAATTCATGACTTGTTGCTTCTCCAGGAGCAAACTGAAAGTATGTATGTTGGCAGAAGCAATAATCAAGCCCAGACTATATACTTATTATTGAGAATGGACTGATGTAAACAGGAGGGAACAAACTTTCCCCTAAATTCCCAAGTAGCCCTAGCACACACAAGGAGTCGTGCAATTTATAGAGAGGGAGAATTCTTTACTCAATGGGTTGGGAGTCAATTCCAAACATTCCCCATCCAACTAGGCACACGTGGAATCCAATGAATCTAGGGTATAATTTTGGGATAGACCGAGCTAGAAGACTCTGGTAGATGTAATTTCATTCACTTAGATATTGCAAGTACAGCTGCCATAGTTTGCTGTGATACTTGCTCTCCTGATGACCCAAGAGAGTCTAGAAAATATCTGTAGAATTCCCAGCTTCTCTTGCTTCCCCCAACTTTCTTTTCTCTTCTCCCTATGCTGTCAGGAAGCTGTCACTCACAATCAGAAGGATGTCAGTATGATGCTTGATATGCAGGTCCTGATTTCACAGAAGGCTCCCATTTCAAAAATAAACATTTGCATGCTTTTTTCTCTCTTCTGCAGTCACATGTTCCACATTGATTCATTGTTGAGATGTGGTAGTCTAGATAAATCGCTCATCTCAAAGTCAGAAGAGGCATGCCCCTGAAGACACCAGTGGAAGTTAAATCCCAGAGGAAGCTAACACTGAATCTAACCTGACCCCTTTTCAGTTGAAACTCAAGGCAGGGGATCCAGACTACAAGAGACTCAAGTAAAAGAAAGTGACACAGGGAGGGGAGTACTTACATTAGCTGCAATCTGAACAAATCACACATATATCAAACTCATATCTGGAATGATTTTATGCACCCGCTGAGGAGAGATCTTTGCTACACTCCCGCTATATATAGCATTTTCTAAAAAAAATAAAACCTAAATTGAGAACAATAGGAGAAACATTCACTCACTAAAAGGTTACTCTGCAGAAAATCACGGAAAATGTATGCAAGGAATGAGGGAAGAGAGGCCTATGGCACAATACTGTCACTAGCATTTAGCAGTCAAGGAACTAAGGGTGAAACATTTTCATAAGCATTTAGAAAAATCAAAGTCAAATTAAAAAAGGACAGAAATGAAAGAGGCTCTTTGGTATTGTCATTTTGGTATTCTCCTGCAAAGAACCCAAAGATAAAGGGGAAAATAAATATTGCTTTAGAGATGTGTACAAAAGGATAGTATAGAAAAAAATGCGGCCCTGCTGGTTGGGGATGATGGGAGTGCAACCAACAGACCAGAATGTTCTCCTCAAACAGCCACAAGCTAGACTACCACACAGTAGCAATGAAATCAAATCCTCCTTAATTATAACCTCCAAGTGATAGAGGATGTGTAGGATAAAACATATAGCATAACATATAACATATGTAACAATGCAACATATAGCACATACAGCATAAAAAAGTAAAGGTAAAGGTTCCCCTTGCACATATATGCTAGTCGTTCCCGACTCTAGGGAGTGGTGCTCATCTCTGGTTCAAAGCCAAAGAGTCAGCGCTGTCTGAAGACATCTCCGTAGTCATGTGGCC